GCCCCCCCGGGAGCTCTCTGCCCCCCTCTTTGCATTATTTGCCCCTTTTTGGGGTATTTGCCCCCGTCCCTTCTCTGGGGCACTTGAATCGGGGAAATAAAGGCCGAATGTTGGGACCCGCTGCCTCCCCCCGGCTGTTTCCTGGGGGGGCCCAGTGGAAACCAGTAACGGACTGGGAGGACTGGGGAGGGGGCGGGGGAGGGCTGCGCCTGGGTCCCTCCCCCCACCCAGCCCCATTTTTGCCTCCAAACCACCAAACATCCCATTTCTGCCCTAAAAATCAGCATTTTGGGGGACGATGACAAAGCCCACCGCCCCCCGGGACCCGCAGCCACCGCCCCCATTTTGAGGCAAAAAAATCCCAAAAGCACCATTTCCTCACCAAAATATATCCTTTTCTTTTGGGGGGAATCTCCAACTTTCCCGTTTGGGTGGATTTTGGGTCAGTTGGTTGATTTTTTTCTGTAGATTTTTTACTCTTAATTTGCTGGAATTTGAAGGTTTGAAGCAGAAAACGGAGATGATTTGGTAAAAAAAAAAAAAAAAAAAAGATATTTTTGTGTTTTAAGCACAGGGAAAAATGGAGATTAGTGCTTTTTTCCCCTGAAAATCCCAATTTTGGAGGCATTTTTGGTTTTTAGGTGCTTTTGGGGTGAAAAAAAGCATCTTGACCGTGGGCTCTTAGTGCCACTCCAGGTGATTTTTGGGTGTCGATAATGCGTTTTTCCTGATTGAAAAAAAATCAAAATGCTGAATTTCTGCCAGAAGCAGAAAAAATCCCAATTTTTCAAAAATTCTCCTCCTTCCCCTTTTATTTTTTAGTGGGTTTATTTTCATTTATTTGCAGTTCTTTCCCCATTTAGACTTTGACCTTTCCCAGGGCGGGCGCATCCCCGGAGCCACGCTGGAAAACACCGCTCTGCTCCAGAATTGACCCAAAACCGACTGAAAACACCCCCAAAAAAGCAAGGGATTTCTGTCAAAGCGGGAGGCGAGGTAGGGAGTGTGGCATGGCGTAAAAAAACATCCAACCAGACCCAAACCGGTTGGGTTTCACCCCAAAACCGTGGAGCATCTGGGAGCCGCTCCAGAGCGAGGTGGTGCCGAAATTAATGGGTTTTTTGGTTGTTTGTTTTTTTTTTTTTAATAAATTAAAAATATATAATTTTCAATCGCAGTGTCCGGAGGGGGCCGTTGGGATGGCGACAGTCAAGGTACGGCACGTGGCGGGGCAGCGTTTTGGGGTTATTTAGTGGGTTTTTTGAACCACTAGCGGGGAGAAGGGGGGAGGGGATGGTTTTTAAAAAGAAAAGGAATTATTTATAAAATGAAATACAATTCAAATATGGTGAAATTTAAAAAAAACACAAGGGAATTCTGGGCGTTTCCAGGTTAAAAATTGAAACCATTTCATTGCCCGGTTGGGCGGGATTTCACCCCAAAAAGCAGAGGGTGGTGGGGACAGGGCGCGGGATTGGTGCTGGGAGGGGTGACGCCTCCCCCACCCCCCCCTCCCCGCTTCTTCCCTGCAGCTCTTCCTCTTCCTCACCACCGCCCTCCTCTTCCTCGGGGGAGGAAGTAGCGGAGCTGCCGGAATGTCAGCGGTGGGAAGGAGACCTCCCCCCCCAGGTGGGTCCTGGGCTCCGGGGGGGGGGTCGACTTTGGGTGATTGCCACTTGCCCACGCGCCGCTTGCCTTCCTCTTCCTCTTCTTCCTCTTCCTCTTCCTGGAGGAAGCAGGAGAGCTGCCGACATGGGAGCCACAGCTTCTCTGGGCAACCTGGGCCAGGCTCTCACCACCCTCCCACCAAACAAGTTCTTCCCCACAGCTCAGCTCCATCTCCCCTCTTCCAGGGTCAAACCCTTCCCCTCCTCCCATGGCTCCCCTCCCTCATCAAGGGTCCCTCCCCATCTCTCCTGGAGCCCCTTGAGGGACTGGAAGGGCCTCTAAGGTCTCCCCGGAGCCTTCCCTTCTCCAGGCTGAACCCCCCCAACTCTCTCAGCACGTCGTCCCAGCAGAGGGGCTCCAGCCCTCACAGCATCTTCAGGGCCTCCTCTGGCCTCGCTCCAACAGCTCCGTGTCCTTCTGATGTGGGTGGCCCCACAGCTGGAGGCATCTCTCCAGGTGGAGTCTCCCCAGAGCCCAGCAGAGCAGGACCTGAGCACCCCCGGCACCCAGAGCGGTGGAGGGGAGTGGGGTCGGCTCATAAGACCAACGGGATCCAGTCCTTCAGGAGCTGCTCTGATGTGGGTCCTTCCCAAGGGCTGGACTCCTTTGGGATGAACCTGCTCCAATGTGGGATCTCCATGGGCTGGAGACCTTCAGGATGAACTTGCTCCTCTACATAGACTGTAGACCTTCAGGATGCACCTGCTCCTCTCCATGGGCTGGAGACCTTCAGGATGCACCTGCTCCTCTCCACGGGCTGGAGTCCTTCAGGTTCAACCTGCTCCTCTCCATGGGTTGCAGTCCTTCCGGATGAATCAGCTCCAGCGTGTGTTCCCCATGGGTTGGAGGGGAACCCTCTTCTCTGGTGCCTGGAGCATCTCCTCCCCCTCCTTCTTCACCCATCTTGGTGTCCTCAGGGTTGTTTCTCTCCCACGTTCTCCATCTCTCAGGGCTTTTTAGCCTTTCTTAAATACGTTCTCCCAGAGGAACTGCCAGAATCACTGGTGGCCTCAGCTTTGGAGGATCCACTTTGAAGCCAACTGGACCCAGCCATGTCCAGTGTGGGGCAGCCCCATGGCTCTTGTCCCAGAGGTCACTGCTGCAGCCCCCCCACCGCACTACCCAAAACCTTGCCAAGATAAACCCAGTTCATGGTCTCACCCATCCCTGTGTCCTCCAACGCGTGAAGGTCTCTGGTCTTCTCATTTTTTGCAGGAGTGCCCCCGCTATTTTGCCCCCCACAAAAGTAAGAGGGGTTGGTTGAGATGTCTCTTCTGCTCAGTGTGGTGGTAGGAAGTTGCACCCCAGCACCTTCTCCCCACGGGGACATCGCTCGGTGGGGCAGGATGGAGGGAGGTGTCTCCTTTCACCGACAATTGCCCCCATTTCCTCCCCGCAGCCACCAAGTGGGGCTTTCTCCGGAGGAAGCGGGAGCAGGAGCCACCTTCCTACCTGAAGTGGGTGGCTTTCCATGGCCACCTGCCTGCCGATGCCGTCTCCAACTGGAACGACTACGCCAAAAGGTTGGAGTACGTCTGCTCCACGACAAAGATGGGTTGCAACACAGGTGCCTACGTCCCCGCCCGAGGTCCCTTCTGCTTCTTCCCCTATCGAGAACAGGAGATGAGCACCAACGACTTCAAGGTGTTGGTCAATGCGGGAGAGCTCGAGGCGCTGGATTGGGTGGATGATTCCTTCGGCAGCGTGCCCGAAAACGCTGTGGAGGGTTGTCCCTACTCTGATGTCTTTGTTGGGAGGAACCGCTATGGCTTGGGAAAGGTCGTCAAAAGGTACAGGAACCTCTTTGTGGTGGTGGACCGGAAGGAGGTTTGGTACAAGTGGTACCAAGTCTTGGTGGTCAAGAAGGGCCCGGCCGCTGTCACCATCTCCAACGTCCACTACAACATGAGTAGGGCAGTGGAGCACAGGAAGGACGTCACCCTGATGAAGACCACGGTGAGGAATGAAGGCTGCCAAGGGGTGTGGAAAACCGTCACCTTGGAGGAGGCCACTGAGACGGAGTACGACTGGGAGATGGACCAGAGGGTCTTCGCCACCGTCTACGGAGTCTTGGAAGCCCCTCTCTTGGTCTTCAATGAAACGGGATGGGAGGTCACCAACGTCACCAGCATCCCCTGGGTGGGTGCGGCAAGCACAGGCCAGGACATTGGCCGTACCCATGTGGTGGAGAAGGAGGTCCAGGCCCAGAGGGCGTGCATGGTGGCCCTGGAGGGACGTCGCTTGGATGTCTATGTCCCCTTCACCGCGCAGCTCACCCGGGATTTTGGTGACGCTCATCCCCACCACGTGGCCGTGACGGGGTGGGCTCGCAGCCGGGCGGTGGTGGGGGTCCGGCCCACCGTCAAGGAGTGCTGGCCCCTCACCAACGTCCCACCATGCCGGGGGTAGGGGACGATGAGGTGGATCCACTGATCTGCTTCCTGCAATCTGCTTTTTCTCCTTTTTTTTTCCCCAAAATAACTACCATCTCACCCCTAAATTGGATGGGCAGCAACTCGGAATGCAGAAAAATGCATATTTTTTTGGTTTTTACCTTCCATATTTTCGGTTTCCTTGGCAGAACCTTCACCCCTCTCCGAAACGACGCGGCAACAACGCGGGAGGCAGAAAAATGTGGGGTTTTTTTCAGTCTTTTCCTCTTGTGTTTCATGAAAAAAATGCAGAATGAAAACAAAAATTCAACTGCGTGGGTCGTTTGAACGTTCCCAAAAAGTAATTTTGTAAGAAAAGAGGTGAGGAAGGAGGGAAAAAACACCCTTTGAATATTTGCCCCCCCTCTTCTGGGGTATTTGCCCCCCCCCTTGGACTCTTTGCCCCTCCCGGGGGTATTTGTCCCCACCCCCCTCCCCCCCGGGAGCTCTCTGCCCCCCTCTTTGCATTATTTGCCCCTTTTTGGGGTATTTGCCCCCGTCCCTTCTCTGGGGCACTTGAATCGGGGAAATAAAGGCCGAATGTTGGGACCCGCTGCCTCCCCCCGGCTGTTTCCTGGGGGGGCCCAGTGGAAACCAGTAACGGACTGGGAGGACTGGGGAGGGGGCGGGGGAGGGCTGCGCCTGGGTCCCTCCCCCCACCCAGCCCCATTTTTGCCTCCAAACCACCAAACATCCCATTTCTGCCCTAAAAATCAGCATTTTGGGGGACGATGACAAAGCCCACCGCCCCCCGGGACCCGCAGCCACCGCCCCCATTTTGAGGCAAAAAAATCCCAAAAGCACCATTTCCTCACCAAAATATATCCTTTTCTTTTGGGGGGAATCTCCAACTTTCCCGTTTGGGTGGATTTTGGGTCAGTTGGTTGATTTTTTTCTGTAGATTTTTTACTCTTAATTTGCTGGAATTTGAAGGTTTGAAGCAGAAAACGGAGATGATTTTGTAAAAAAAAAAAAAAAAAAAAGATATTTTTGTGTTTTAAGCACAGGGAAAAATGGAGATTAGTGCTTTTTTCCCCTGAAAATCCCAATTTTGGAGGCATTTTTGGTTTTTAGGTGCTTTTGGGGTGAAAAAAAGCATCTTGACCGTGGGCTCTTAGTGCCACTCCAGGTGATTTTTGGGTGTCGATAATGCGTTTTTCCTGATTGAAAAAAAATCAAAATGCTGAATTTCTGCCAGAAGCAGAAAAAATCCCAATTTTTCAAAAATTCTCCTCCTTCCCCTTTTATTTTTTAGTGGGTTTATTTTCATTTATTTGCAGTTCTTTCCCCATTTAGACTTTGACCTTTCCCAGGGCGGGCGCATCCCCGGAGCCACGCTGGAAAACACCGCTCTGCTCCAGAATTGACCCAAAACCGACTGAAAACACCCCCAAAAAAGCAAGGGATTTCTGTCAAAGCGGGAGGCGAGGTAGGGAGTGTGGCATGGCGTAAAAAAACATCCAACCAGACCCAAACCGGTTGGGTTTCACCCCAAAACCGTGGAGCATCTGGGAGCCGCTCCAGAGCGAGGTGGTGCCGAAATTAATGGGTTTTTTGGTTGGTTTTTTTTTTTTTTAATAAATTAAAAATATATAATTTTCAATCGCAGTGTCCGGAGGGGGCCGTTGGGATGGCGACAGTCAAGGTACGGCACGTGGCGGGGCAGCGTTTTGGGGTTATTTAGTGGGTTTTTTGAACCACTAGCGGGGAGAAGGGGGGAGGGGATGGTTTTTAAAAAGAAAAGGAATTATTTATAAAATGAAATACAATTCAAATATGGTGAAATTTAAAAAAAACACAAGGGAATTCTGGGCGTTTCCAGGTTAAAAATTGAAACCATTTCATTGCCCGGTTGGGCGGGATTTCACCCCAAAAAGCAGAGGGTGGTGGGGACAGGGCGCGGGATTGGTGCTGGGAGGGGTGACGCCTCCCCCCCCCCCCCCTCCCCGCTTCTTCCCTGCAGCTCTTCCTCTTCCTCACCACCGCCCTCCTCTTCCTCGGGGGAGGAAGTAGCGGAGCTGCCGGAATGTCAGCGGTGGGAAGGAGACCTCCCCCCCCAGGTGGGTCCTGGGCTCCGGGGGGGGGGTCGACTTTGGGTGATTGCCACTTGCCCACGCGCCGCTTGCCTTCCTCTTCCTCTTCTTCCTCTTCCTCTTCCTGGAGGAAGCAGGAGAGCTGCCGACATGGGAGCCACAGCTTCTCTGGGCAACCTGGGCCAGGCTCTCACCACCCTCCCACCAAACAAGTTCTTCCCCACAGCTCAGCTCCATCTCCCCTCTTCCAGGGTCAAACCCTTCCCCTCCTCCCATGGCTCCCCTCCCTCATCAAGGGTCCCTCCCCATCTCTCCTGGAGCCCCTTGAGGGACTGGAAGGGCCTCTAAGGTCTCCCCGGAGCCTTCCCTTCTCCAGGCTGAACCCCCCCAACTCTCTCAGCACGTCGTCCCAGCAGAGGGGCTCCAGCCCTCACAGCATCTTCAGGGCCTCCTCTGGCCTCGCTCCAACAGCTCCGTGTCCTTCTGATGTGGGTGGCCCCACAGCTGGAGGCATCTCTCCAGGTGGAGTCTCCCCAGAGCCCAGCAGAGCAGGACCTGAGCACCCCCGGCACCCAGAGCGGTGGAGGGGAGTGGGGTCGGCTCATAAGACCAACGGGATCCAGTCCTTCAGGAGCTGCTCTGATGTGGGTCCTTCCCAAGGGCTGGACTCCTTTGGGATGAACCTGCTCCAATGTGGGATCTCCATGGGCTGGAGACCTTCAGGATGAACTTGCTCCTCTACATAGACTGTAGACCTTCAGGATGCACCTGCTCCTCTCCATGGGCTGGAGACCTTCAGGATGCACCTGCTCCTCTCCACGGGCTGGAGTCCTTCAGGTTCAACCTGCTCCTCTCCATGGGTTGCAGTCCTTCCGGATGAATCAGCTCCAGCGTGTGTTCCCCATGGGTTGGAGGGGAACCCTCTTCTCTGGTGCCTGGAGCATCTCCTCCCCCTCCTTCTTCACCCATCTTGGTGTCCTCAGGGTTGTTTCTCTCCCACGTTCTCCATCTCTCAGGGCTTTTTAGCCTTTCTTAAATACGTTCTCCCAGAGGAACTGCCAGAATCACTGGTGGCCTCAGCTTTGGAGGATCCACTTTGAAGCCAACTGGACCCAGCCATGTCCAGTGTGGGGCAGCCCCATGGCTCTTGTCCCAGAGGTCACTGCTGCAGCCCCCCCACCGCACTACCCAAAACCTTGCCAAGATAAACCCAGTTCATGGTCTCACCCATCCCTGTGTCCTCCAACGCGTGAAGGTCTCTGGTCTTCTCATTTTTTGCAGGAGTGCCCCCGCTATTTTGCCCCCCACAAAAGTAAGAGGGGTTGGTTGAGATGTCTCTTCTGCTCAGTGTGGTGGTAGGAAGTTGCACCCCAGCACCTTCTCCCCACGGGGACATCGCTCGGTGGGGCAGGATGGAGGGAGGTGTCTCCTTTCACCGACAATTGCCCCCATTTCCTCCCCGCAGCCACCAAGTGGGGCTTTCTCCGGAGGAAGCGGGAGCAGGAGCCACCTTCCTACCTGAAGTGGGTGGCTTTCCATGGCCACCTGCCTGCCGATGCCGTCTCCAACTGGAACGACTACGCCAAAAGGTTGGAGTACGTCTGCTCCACGACAAAGATGGGTTGCAACACAGGTGCCTACGTCCCCGCCCGAGGTCCCTTCTGCTTCTTCCCCTTTCGAGAACAGGAGATGAGCACCAACGACTTCAAGGTGTTGGTCAACGTGGGAGACCTGGAGGCGCTGGATTGGGTGGATGATTCCTTCGGCAGCGTGCCCGAAAACGCTGTGGAGGGTTGTCCCTACACTGATGTCTTTGTTGGGAGGAACCGCTATGGCTTGGGAAAGGTCGTCAAAATGCACAGGAACCTCTTCGTGGTGGTGGACCAGGAGGAGGTTTGGTACAAGTGGTACCAAGTCTTGGTGGTCAAGAAGGGCCCGGCCAATGTCACCATCTCCAATGTCCGCTACAACGTGAGTGGGGCAGTGGAGCACAGGAAGGACGTCACCCTGATGAAGACCACGGTGAGGAATGAAGGCTGCCAAGGGGTGTGGAAAACCGTCACCTTGGAGGAGGCCACTGAGACGGAGTACGACTGGGAGATGGACCAGAGGGTCTTCGCCACCGTCTACGGAGTCTTGGAAGCCCCTCTCTTGGTCTTCAATGAAACGGGATGGGAGGTCACCAACGTCACCAGCATCCCCTGGGTTGGTGGGGCCAGCATAGGGAAGTACGTTGACCATACCCATGTGGTGGAGAAAGAGGTCCAGGCCCAGAGGGCGTGCATGGTCGCCCTGGAGGGACGCCGTTTGGATGTCCACATCCCCTTCACCGCGCAGCTCACCCGGGATTTTGGTGACGCTCATCCCCACCACGTGGCCGTGACGGGGTGGGCTCGCAGCCGGGCGGTGGTGGGGGTCCGGCCCACCGTCAAGGAGTGCTGGCCCCTCACCAACGTCCCACCATGCCGGGGGTAGGGGACGATGAGGTGGATCCACTGATCTGCTTCCTGCAATCTGCTTTTTCTCCTTTTTTTCCCCCTAAATAACTACCATCTCACCCCAAAATTGGAAGGGCAGCAACTCGGAATGCAGCAAATGCATATTTTTTGGTTTTTACCTTCCATATTTTCAGTTTCCTTGGCAGAACCTTCACCCCTCTCCGAAACGACGCGGCAACAACGCGGGGGGCAGAAAAATGTGGGGTTTTTTTCAGTCTTTTCTTCTTGTGTTTCATGAAATAAATGCAGAGCGAAAACAAAAATTCAACTGCGTGGGTCATTTGAATGCACCCAAAAAGTAATTTCATAAGAAAAGGGGTGAGGAAGGAGGGAAAAAGTTACCTCAGGGGATGGTGGAGGCCATGTCCTTGGAGGATGTCAATGGAGGTGGCACCATCTCAGGGGGATGATGGTGGACTAAAGCCCCCACCTCCCTCCTCGCTTCCTCCCTCCCCTTCCCACCAAGGAAGGCAGGAGTGACATAGGAGCTGACCAATCAGGGGGTGGGTAGGGTGGTCGGCCCACCCACCAGGCACCGAGGGACTTTGGGGGGGATACGGGGGTCTGGGG